CGATCCCATGTTAGGGAGTATCGTCTCGGTAGTTCCAATAGAGAAACCGAGCTCGTCTCGAACTCAAAATTAATTTATTGTGTTTATTGGGAAATCACGTGCTGCAACTATGCGCTCCAACAAAAAGGGTGTGGATTTTTCGCTTTCCCTTGTTGATGTTGTACACAGTTCATGTTGTAGTTGTTATTCTTCATGTTTTCAGCCCACTTGCATCTAAATTTGCCCATCAGCCGCGACATGTGCATGGATGTCTGTAAGGCTCTGAATGTGTGTCGTAAATTGTCAGAAGTGGCAAATCAGAGGCAGCTCGAGTAGCCGAGCCAGCGGAGCAGCTTTTTGATATGATACCAATTTGATGGCATAATTTCAACGCACCCTCCAGCGTTATTAATATGCAACATGATAACAACAATTGCATACATACATGCATAGGTACAATGCCACACCTGCTGCCGCTCCGCTCCACACAGCGTCTCAAAACTGAATTTTAAGTTGCAGGCATTCATTCACACAAACTGTATGTGCATCTAAGTAAGCTTGCATGTAGATGTTTTTCTTTTTTTATCCAACAGCGGTAAAGTGGCAAATTTGAAATCGGCCCACGTGTCGGCCTAACAAATTTGCCTCATTCGACGGCTGCTGTGGAATTTCCACGGCTTTGGCGGAGATCTTCACATGGGCTTCCCTTTGCTATTACGAGTCAATTTATTGCAGCTCAATTCAGAGCTTTGAGCTCCACATGCATCAATATATTATATAAACGGGAGTATGCAATTTTCGGATTTGTTTGAAGTAATCAAAACCGAAAAGAATTGTAATTAAATCATCAATTCATTACGAGGGATGCTGCGTGATTGCTGAGTTATTCCGAACTGTTTTCGCATATGCCAAATCTGACGCTGCGGTCGTTACTTTGACAATCTTCATAAGGGACAATTTGTTCAAGAATTCTTTAATAAAAAGATCTTAAAACAAAAGCAGTAATAAGAGCAGCTGAGCCAGCCGAGAATGAAGCATGATATAGTTCATAGCCATTAGCCTTTATCCCATCAAGATCGCTAGTGTGTGAAGAAAAGTCAAGAGGTGACCCTGATTCTCCCCGGCTTAACATTACGGTTCTAGATTAAGAGGATACTGAACATACACTTCGCAGGGGCGTACAACTGTGTTCGTACTTAGGCCAGCTCTGAAAGTGTTGGTGCCTTGCTGTGGCACAAGGTTCCACCACAGTCAGCTGCTCCTTTCCCTTTCCAATTCAAAAGATAGCCAAGTACAATATGTAATGAGCAACAGAAATCCAACCTTAGGTCTCTGTATGCTTGATAGACACGGCGTTACCAAACATTGTTAATTGAGAATCGTTATTAATGTGCAACGTGACCCGATCAGGCCAATACGGCCTAACCAACCGCTTCGACCATCGAGGCCTGCAGCTGGAAGAGACACACCGGAATGTAGCCCTTGCTGTGAAGGTGAAACCACAGACCCACTGAGGGTGGCTTATGGCAAAACATTTAACATATCTTGGGGTGCCAAAGTAGCATAGGTCAAAATAAAGACAGTTAGTTTTATCTTCAATGGGTTGTACTTAATCGGCCGATTTGAGCTGTTTATTTTTCATGGCCTGTTTTACTAGAACATCTTCACCAAAAGTTTTTCTTATTATTCATTCTTCCATTTAATTTGCGTATAAATAAAAAATTTTATAAAAATTTTTCGATCTGCTTCGTTCCTAACGCCTAGCCTTAATGGCTCTCACAGGCAAAGTCAACATTGGAACGACAGTTCAAAATTTCATCACACTTCAGGGGCAACTACGGGCTTCCATGTTTTAGAATTTTTCTTATTTCCTGAACTCACTTCGCATATCACATGAGAACTTCCCATCCTTTAGGACGAACTTTTGAAGGTCTATAGAGTATCTGAAGATACAAGATATTTATGGTTCCGCACCGCTCGGATTCGTCTCTACCCTACTTTCCCCATCAATTTTCTCTTGCAACGGGCTCTCATTGCCGCCTAGCGGGTCGGGCTAACATGCTTTAACGAAGTATTAAAAGGTTCCTAGTAACTCTGAACCTCAGCTGAGTGTGTGCGGAAATATGACAGAAATATATATATATACGTACATATCTATATTTGCATGTACACTTATATAAGAGTTCGAGTATTTTTCGTTCGCATAAATTCATTTGTTCATAAGCTGTTAATTTCATCTGTTGTAGCGAACCATGATTTGCTATTAAGCATAACAGCCACATGCTTTATGTTGTTATTGTTGTTTTATGTCTATGCTATGATAACCGCCGGAGGTGTTAAAGATTGGGAAAATGTAAATGTGCAGCGGCGTAAAAAAATTTATTTCGATTTTTAAGTAACCATTTGGCAGCTTTTATGTACCACCGCCAGTCTACTCGCGCCGCCTCTTGAGCTGCGGCTGCTTTTAAAGCTATTTTTGATGCTTGCAGACGGCCTACCACCGCTCGTGCAAATCCTTTCCCAGACAACGACTTTTATGTAAATCGCGCTCACCTCGTCGATTAGTGGCTCGCTCAACTCCAGTAGCTGGTCGGATGGCTGGCCGGAGCGTTTGTGCCACCTTGCAACACACACCACACTACGCCACGCTGTTGGCTTTGAGTGTAGTGTAAGTGTGTAGATATGTATGTGTTCATCGCATTTTTATGGCTGCGCATGCGCGCGCACAGTAGCTGACACAGTTGTCACTCGGTGGCGCGTCGCAATTTCGCGCCTCGCATTCATGCATTTTTACTCAACCGACCAAAGCTGCCGCCGACATCGAGTTACAAGAAAATACGTAGAACATAACGGTGTGTGTATGCGGTGCAGCTTTGTCGGTACTGTCAAATTTCCACTCGGCGGCGGGAACAAGCCTGGAGTAGCTCCACAAAGATTTATGTGAGTTTTGCCAATCGCCAGCCAAGATTGGCTACTGATGAAGAGCAGGGACTGTCTTCGTTGTTGTTGCTTTTAGTTTTGCAGTCAATGTGCGTAAAATTGTGCAGTGTGAAGTTGGCTATGGAGAATGCAATTGGCGGTGGCTGCTTAAGGCCATATTTTAAAAGACAAATAAACTTAAAGAGTAAGCGGAATAAGCAGACCGGGAAACAGACACACACACTCACACACACTAGAACAGATATTGCATTGGCAGGCAAGTCTGGGACAGTTCATTAAGAGCCCATTTGTGTAAACGTTAAGTCGGCAGCGGCATCTGTATGTATGTATCCAAAGTTTACCAGTTGGTTTTTAAACTCGCCAACTCACCAACTCGCTGCCTACACCCCTCGGCCCTCGACCCTCGGTGCACAGAAGCTCTCTTTGTCTACTCATTATTGGACGTCACTAAAAATGTCAAAAGTTCACCTTGAATGTCTTCGTTCACTTTTTGTTCAGCATTTATTGCTAGCTCGCCAGCCCACGAGTCCAGCAGCCGTCGCCTCGTTGCGCACATAGAGTTGAGAATTTAATTAAAATTGCGAATATGGAAAACTCATTTGTTGTGAACACCTGAGAGGTGTGTTGATGTTCATACAAATAGAATGTCTATAAAATTTTGAGCATCTCCTCGGGCAGCGCGGCGCGGTGGCGGTGAGTAGTGTGGCGAAATTTAACATTTTCATTTGTTGACTGCAATAACCCACAACCCGAGGCGAAAACAAGACGTTCCAACTGTTTGTTGGGTTACAGCAACTGCACGACGCCACAAGTTGTTGTAATGAGTTCGGTGTGAAACTGTGGCTAAGACCATGCATGTGGGATCTACAGTTTCATAAAGATATGAGAAGTCCAAGATATTTGCAATTTTAAGTACTCTTTGAACAGAAGTAAAGATTGGTATCGAGCTGCACCCAAAAAGTCTAGGCTTCGAATGAACTCTTAGAGTTAATTAATAAAATTCGTTTACAGTTTACTCCCTTTCATCTCTCTCTCTCTCTCTCTCTCTCTCTCTTTCTTTCTTTCTTTCTCTCTCTTTCTCTCTCTCTCTCTCTCTCACACTCTCTCTCTCTCTCTCTCTATATATATATATATCGCTTCAAGTAATAATAATGGGCTTGAAGCTTCAAAAAGCTTGATATAATCACTTGAAGAGCTTTTCATGAGACTTATTCTACAAAAAAAAAGGTCGCTGAGATGGTCTCAGGCCGATACGATATGAAAGAAGGTGCAATACTTGACGAGCGATTTCGTAAGCGGCAAGATTTAGGTTAAAAAGCTGTCTAGCTTCACTTGCCGTAACGAAATAGATTAATAAATGTAAGAGACAGGTAGGTGACGTCAATTCTGTTGAACCAGACCGTTAAATGGCGTAATAAGAGTTTTCACATCGCCACATTATGGCGCCGTCTAATACAAATGAAGCCATTTCACCGGCAATAAGCCCCCGAAATTAAGAGAGGGAGGTATTGAGCGTATGATTAATCGTTTGTTGAGTATTGCGCACACTCACATATAAGTCAAACATTCAACCACAAAAGGTTGATCCAACAGTCAAATCAGTCAATACTCGATCAACCGGTCACCTCGCCAAAGCGTTAGAAAACACCCAAAGTGCAAGCAGCTCAAATACGAATGCGCAGTTACTTAAGACCCTGTAGGACAACACACAATTCACAACATTCAATCAGGCATATGTTGCTATGGGGTTTGCCAGGACTCAGAAAATATTTTCCATCTTCAAACATTTAAAAGTAAATATTCTTATTAATTGAATTATTTACTCTTTTATGAAGTTTCAGCTCCAAATTAATTTTGCTAAAGACCGGCACTCCCATCAACACTAAAACTAGCCTTCGTCGGTGTAAGTTTTTCCTTCAGAGTCATTTTTCAGTTCATAACATGAAAGCCGTAAGCAAACATAAATACAGGTTCACACACGCGAGTCATTGTACTCCGAACCGCCAACCGAAAGTAATAATAAATGATCAAACGTTAATTTGTTAGCAATTTCAACTGATTGGTGAGTAATCAACACGAAATCAAAAGTCAACCATTTGTTGATTTTTAATTTTCTGCATTTTTTATTTTCAAACCGTTCTTTAGTCTACTTCGTCATTTGTTGCCGCTAATGCAACCGTGCATTGGAATATTAAATTTTGTAGCGTGAAATTGTAATTGTGTTCTTTTATCTTGGGCGAGACCACAGCCGTCGTTCGTATTCAGTTGGCGCCATTCCGTTGTTCATCGAATTAATAAATCATTCCTGCTTAGAGCTTCAACACATGACCCGTGAAGTAGACCGCGCTATCATCTAGTATGGCGAAGACAAATGGACGATTAACTATGATGCTGGGTTGGAAGAAGCGACCAGAGCGTTCTAGGATTTGTGAGTCTATCGAAAGGGGAGAGAGAGATGAAATGAGCAATAAATATAAAATATAAGTTTCTTCAAACTCACATGTGGCACCCGAGGCTTCGGAACCTTTTTCGTCTACTGAAATAAAAGCCTTGTGTTTAACTTCGGATACGTAGAGTGGTCCTCTAGCGCCAGTGACCATGTTTGGCAGCTCAGCATTAGTAAATAATAAATTTAAGCCCAACTGTTTTGTAAAATAAAACTTTTTATTTAAAAAACTAATAAATTAAAGGTTCACTTACCTTTTTCAGCGTTTCAACTAAACTCAAATCGAACTCGATCTTAAACGTTGGCAGCACAAGGTCCACAGTATTTTCTTTTAGCGATCCCCGCAAACGCTGCACTGTCGCCGCACTTAACTGCTGTTCCAGTCTCGCCACACCACCGTCCAGCCGGTTTGGCATTAGTATTAACATACGCAGTTCCGTGCCTTCGTAGGGCAATTCCACAGCCACCAGATCGAGTTCCGATACCTCGCTATGACGCAACGGCACATCAGTCCTATACATCATACGCGCTCGCACTTTATCCACCGAGTTCAAGCTAAATTCTCTTGGCACCGTATACGCCGGATCGAATGGATAGCGCCAATTCGCCTTGAAGTAGATGGCATTCGTCAAGACTAAAGCAGTATCGGCCGTCAAAACAGAGGGGTCTATAAGATTTTTGATCTTGCCTTGTGTCTCCGTTTCCACCCATTTGTTAATACTATCCGCGACCTGCGTGTTACGCGTGAAATCTACAGCCTCAGCTGTTGAACGAAAATAACTGCTAATCAGCTGATTATATGTAGGCACCAACTGCAGTTGTCTGTCGACGTAAATACGATTAGCCATTTGCAATTTACTCTCGGGCGACTTGACTGCTGATTGTATGAATTCCCCGAAATCCGCTGCCACTGCCTCTAGACTCGCGAATCGCTCGAGCGCAAGCACACGTCGCAGTTCGGCTGCAGTTTGTTGAGCAGAGCCCATATACGTCATCGCCAGGCAGGTTTGCACTGAGGTAGGCGAAACGATTAAGTTCTCATTCGGTTTATAAGTGACGATTGTTTTGAAAAAATTCCAAGCAAATTCATTGCGACTTTGGCTATCGTAAGCGAATGCCAGGTGTAGGTGGCAGAAGGCGATTAGCAACAAAACTGATTGAAATAGTAAGTGATTGTTAGCGAGAATTTAAAATTAAAAGAAAATTATTATTTGAATACTTGTTAATTTGTATGTGCTTTACCTATTTTCGTCATTCCGTAGGCAGAAAGAAGTACGTCAGCTCACCATTGATTTGAAATGAGTACTAAACACACTGACACCTCAAATATCAATTTAACAAGCAATGAATAACATTTGAATTGAGCATACAACAAATTCAAACCAAATTCACAGCTTCTTGCTTATCAGATTACACTGTGCAGCGGTTTTCAAAGTCAAATAAATGAAATACTGATTTTGACGTTCTTCAAAACAACGTTATTTTATTTATTATTTATTATTTTTATTTAATTTAATGTATTTCTTATTTATTTTATTTTATTTTCTTATTTTTAACGAATTTTCTTCTTCATTTTATTTTATTTTAGTTCGTTTTCTTATTGTTCAATGCATTTTATATTAATTATTTTTTATTTTATTTTATTTCATTTCATTTCATTTCATTTCATTTCATTTCATTTCATTTCATTTCATTTCATTTCATTTCATTTCATTTCATTTCATTTCATTTCATTTCATTTCATTTCATTTCATTTCATTTCATTTCATTTCATTTCATTTCATTTCATTTCATTTCATTTCATTTCATTTCATTTCATTTCATTTCATTTCATTTCATTTCATTTCATTTCATTTCATTTCATTTCATTTCATTTCATTTCATTTCATTTCATTTCATTTCATTTCATTTCATTTCATTTCATTTCATTTCATTTCATTTCATTTCATTTCATTTCATTTCATTTCATTTCATTTCATTTCATNTTTATTTGATTTTATTTTATTTTATTTTATTTTATTTTATTTTATTTTATTTTATTTTATTTTATTTTATTTTATTTTATTTTATTTTATTTTATTTTATTGTATTTTATTTTATTTTATTTTATTTTATTTTTTTGTTTATTTTATATTGTTTTTTTTTTTGTTGTCTCATTATACAAACCAATGAGCAAACAGCCAAACATACATATGTTCAAATCCTCTACCAATTCCACAGCACAATTAATTTGAAATTATAACCTCTATTTCATTCGAAGCATAAATTCGCTGGCGACATGTACCGGGACATTTATGGCTTTATCATTGCAACGAATGGTGAAAGAAGATAACAATTTGTAGCTGAAGACAAGAAACAAGTTTCGAACACTTTGAGATCTCCCCAGCTTCACTCTCAAAGCAAAGCATTTGCCACTCGCAAAACGAATTTTTAACTGCAAATCGACTCGATCGGGAAAATTTAATTGGGTGTACATAATAAAGTTGTTAAAATTTCTGCGTTTAACTACAACAACAAAGCAGAAACATATGATCAGCAAAACAAAATACCAATTAACGATAACACCAACAACCAAAGTCATCAATATATAAGCGACAATAACAGCAAAGATCATTTCACGCAACACCTAAAGCATGAAGTTCTCAACAACTGCCGACAGCGAAAGAAAAAAACAGTAATAATGTGTAAAATCATCTGAAATAAAATACGCGTTGAAGCGACGAATATCGCAGCGGCGTTTAACACCGTCATAAACAGGGCACTAAAAACCGATTTCTCTTGTCTAAATGGAAAAAAGATTTTCTCTCGATTAATTCGTTTTTGGTTTTGTTTTTCTCTTATTGCACTTATTGAGCGATTTCGGACGCGTGCTGCATTGAGCTGATCAGACTATGCACAAAGTTTTTTTGGAAATATGTATATGTGCTTGTGTAGTTATTTATCGATTTGCTATTGAAAGAGCGAGTGATCTTCACATAGAGATGCTAATCAGACGCTAATCATTTTTTTTTGCAAACAACACGTTTGCTATTACACTAACAAGCGCCCTCGAATGAGCGAGTTCAATGGCTGGACTGTATGTAAGCCTGCTAATCAGCTCTGAATGTTATTTACCAGATGAGCAGTATTGTGCATGGACTGTTTCTAATCGGTTATCATCGGTACTTCCCCTGGACATCATCAGCTGATAGAATTTTCGGAATATTTTCTGCTGATGTAAATACAATGTATGTATGTACATATAAAAAATTATATGTTGATGTTATACACGTACGTATATCGGTGTCAAGTTGGTATAGATAGGAGATGAGTCTACTATAGAATACAGATCTTAATTGTGCTAGTATTATTCGTGTCTCACGAGGCAGCTTGACCTATTCGTCTGCTATGAGAGGTGGTTAGATACCAAGTACGCCATTCGCAAAAAGAGAGTTTATAAAGGATTTTGCGAACCCTCTGTGGCTATTTCGATTTGTCGTCCTGTCAAGGATTCTCTTCTGTGGCGCTGAATAGTGAGTACCCCATAACAGATCTGCCAGGAAGTGGTTGGGCTTCCAGTAGATGTCTGCTAGGTTAGTTTCATTCAGTAGCAGTTCTCAGCGCAGTTTACTTTCGCACAAAGATTATCAATATCCTGACCAGGCCAAGCAGTAAACGGCTTGTGAGGTCAAGAAATGCCCTATGGTGCAACGAGAAGCTATGAAGTGTAGAAATAAATAATAGCCGGAGGAGGACAACACTTAGTTCCCACGCAGAGTCGACTTTGGTTGAAGCCATAAATTACATCGTTAAACGTTTATATGGTGCTGTGAACTTTGCTAAAGCCAAGTTTGTTCAGAGGGGGAGAAAAATACTGGAGCAGTGAGGTATTAAGTATGTGGATATGATTTACTGGTTTTATGGGTTTTAGTAGCAGAACCACTAACCGGTTTCCACACGTCGAGTACAGTTAGAATGGTCAGAGTAGGGTTAAAGAAATTGATGGAAATACCGCTCCCGCAGCATCAACACGGTTATTCAGTCGGACCCGATGAATTTAGAGGTTTTGATTCTTAGAAGACTCTCTGAACCTGCTCTCTAGATCTCAAGCGCTGCATTGAAATTTTACAGTTCGTACAAACAGTGGGTCACTTGTCGTTTCATTTCGAATCAACCGAAGTGAGTATAATAAAAGTTATATGGTTACCACATGTATGTAAATTTCAATAAGAAGAGAGCTTAAAATTCAGAAAGCTCAGTAGCAATACATTTTAACCACCAAGTTAATTTTTTATTGAAATTTTTTAAATGTTGAGCTACAAATCTTAGAAATATGCGTAAGTCAATATTTTCCAAAACAAACTACAATGAAGTTAGCGGTGTTCGGATTAAATTAAATAAATTTTTCTTAGTTAGAACAACAAAAAAAAAAGTTTAATTTCCCCCAAATCTCCATTTAAAGCACAATTTAAAATTGTTCACCCTTTTGGTGCCGGGCTGTCTGGTCTGCCGCAGTCATCATTACTTCGAATCATTACAGTTGACCTACCCCTAACAACGAAAAGAGAAATAATAATTGCCTTAAAACCGACAAAGCAAAAATAAAGTAAAATTTAAGACTCTTCTGCGTGCTGCCGAAAAAAAAATTGGCTTAATATGAAAAAAATACAAAACACAGCAAACTGAAATTAATAAGAATAAAAAGTTGTTATTGTCCAATTTGTGAACTCCTCAAAACTTTGTTGACTGGAAGCATTTCTTATACAAAAAAAACCCAATTTCCTAATTTCCGACGTCAGTACAAGCGGCAACTTCAAGCCGCCGCAGTAAGCTATCGCTTCCATCATCAGCAGCATCACCATCAACGACGGCATCTTTATCAGCAGCGCTACCATCTCAGCACTAGTAGCCGCCAACAGACCGACTGCCGTTCTTTGTCGATTAGCCCTCCATTCCGTCATCCATCCATCCATTCATCCATCCTTCAAATCGTTGGCGGTGCTCTCAAATGCAGATCATCATCATCATCATCAAACTCGCACGCCACACTGTCTGCCACAACACGATCATCTGCATTCGCTGTGTGTGGATTTCAGACGAAGAGAGTGGGAAGGCGCGAAAGGAAGAGAAGAGACGGTGTTGTGGGGCATAGAAAGCAGCATTTTGAGTTTTTGTGATTTTTGATGGTCCGCACATTTCGTCGGTGCAATTATTTATTATAACAAAAATGCCGGCCATAATTACAGAGCGGCACGCAGTTTTCGAAGTTAACACTTTCGTAGTTGGGAAAATGCCTCGGGGCGCAGATTATTGACGATGCAACAAGCCCAACCGACAAGCCGACGAAAATAACTGATGAATTTGTGCAACTGCTTACTAAAAGCCCTTCACAGAATGTATTGAATATATTTATGAGAAATATTGTTTGATGATCGTAAGCATTGAAAAATTAAGATTATTAAAAAACTAAATATTGGGTTGCCCAAAAAGTAATTGCGGATTGTTCATATAGTCGGCGTTGACAAATTTTTCAACGGCTTGTGACTCTGTAATTGCATTCTTTCTTCTGTCAGTTATCAGCTGTTACTTTTAGCTTGCTTTAGAAAAAAAGTGCGCGAAATTTTGTTTACATTTGTTTGTTTGGCGTCAATTTTAATATGGAGCCCACAAAGGAGCATTTTCGTCATATTTTACTTTATTATTTCCGTAAAGGAAAAAACGCGGAGCAGGTTGCTAAAAAGTTACGAGATGTGTATGGTGATGAAGCCTTAAAAGGAAGACAGTGTCAAAATTGGTTTCGCAAATTCCGTTCTGGAGATTTTTCACTTAAAGATGAGCCACGTTCAGGTCGGCCAAATGAAGTTGATGATGACCAAATCAAAGCATTAATCGAATTGGATCGTCATGTAACTGAGCGTGAGATAGGAGAGAAGTTAAATATACCAAAATCAACCGTTCATTATCACATAAAAAGTCTTGGACTGGTGAAAAAGCTTGATATTTGGGTACCACATGTATTGAAAGAAATTCATTTAACACACCGAATCAACGCTTGTGATATGCACCTTAAACGCAATGAATTCGATCCGTTTTTAAAACGAATCATAACTGGAGATGAAAAATGGATTGTTTACAACAACGTTAGTCGAAAACGATCATGGTCCAAGCATGGTGAACCAGCTCAAACCACTTCAAAGGCTGATATCCACCAAAAGAAGGTTATGCTGTCTGTTTGGTGGGATTGGAAGGGTGTCGTATATTTTGAGCTGCTTCCAAGGAACCAAACGATTAATTCGGATGTTTACTGTCAACAATTGGACAAATTGAATACAGCCATGAAGGAGAAGCGACCAGAATTGGTCAATCGTAAAGGTGTCACTCGCCAAAAAC